GGAAAGAGTTTTCTGGTCTCTGTCTCCTAACCCCCGGCCTCTGAGTAAGAAAATGTCTGCTCAGAAAAATCTGAGCGCAAAAATGGGTAAAAGATGTTGGGCTCTTACGGGGAAATTTTCCAAATAGCCCTTTTAAACGTGGGTCCCGGAGGTTAAGCAAACAAAGACAGTCTCGGCTGGACCACACCGAAGAGGATTTTAGCCTGACTTAACCCCTATGAGAGCGGGGTCTTGTTCAATTTTATGGGAATTTCAACAAGTAACAAATACAGGCGACCCTCAGCTCTGGGTCCCCTCCCGCCCCCTCCTTGGAGGCCTGTCAATCACTCTCCTGTCCTTCTGCGAGCTCCGCAGACTGCCCTGGCCTCCCCCTGCTGCAGCCGCGGGGCGGGCGAGCGGGAGCCCAGCGTTGCCATCACCGCAAAAGGGACCTGGGATGTCGAGGGAGAGCAAATGGTTGTAAATTTGCTTCCCTCAGAGAAACAAACACAACAACCAACCACAAACCAACAACAAAAACAACCAAAGAAAAAACCACCCCGATCAAACAAACCCTCGGTGTAGCTCCAGGGGGAGAAGGGCTGCGGAGCCGCTGCCCGTCCTACCGGCTCTTGGGCGCAGGGGGGTGAAGGACAAAGGTGCGTCCTCAGACGGGCTCCTCCGTGCCCACGGGGCTCCGCTGCTGAGGTTTAAACCCACTTTTTCGAGATTCAGGTCGTCACCTCACGTGGTTTTGAAGGCCAGGGCGAGAGGCCGGAGAGCTCGCAAGGGCACCCCCCGCAGAAACACGGACCGTTCACGTCAGGAAATTCTGCTTCGCTTTGTTGTTGTTATTCGGGGTTTTTTTTTTTCTTTTCTTTACCTTTTTTTTTTTTTTTTTTTTTTTGGGGGGGGGGGATTTTTTTTCTGTTTCTTTTATTCCTTGAGGCCACGCGGGCAGCCGCGCAGGACCCACGGGGCCACGCGTGGCACAGGAGCGGGGCTGGCCCGGCCAGCGGAGCTGGGAGACAGCTGCCCTCTCCTCCTGCCAAACACCCGAGGTGGGAAAAACCATTTCTGGAAGAGAATTTTTAATTCCGAAGCAGACCGAGAACAGCTCTTTAAAACAAAAAGCAGAGAGAGAGAGAGAGAGTAAAGTTGCTGATTCCCCAGAAGCTTCCACTACGTTTTGCGAGGCTGGGGCTGTTTAAATCCCAGTTGTTTCTGTTCAAGGACGGCTATCCACGCAGACAGACCTATGGAACTTTCTTAATACCGACGACGAGCGTCCCTCTCCAGTAGCTCAGATATAATGCCACCGCTTGGCAAAACAACGTTTCTCCGCTTGTTTTCTACAGCTTCAGGATCTGGGCCCAGGACCTTGGTGGGAGCCATCCACCCTCCTTGATTAATTTAAAAAAGGAAAAAAACCCCACAAACCTATTTTATATATATTTTTTTTTAATATTTTTTTTTTTTTGGTTGAGGTCCTCATTCCTGTGTGCTACATAAAATCTTCCCAAACATTTCAGCGGAGTGAAGGGAGATAAAGCAAAAAGACCCGAGTTCCTTCCTTCGTAATTACCAGCAATAACCTTTCTCCTCCTCTCCCCACAAGTGCATTAGCAAGTGGATTTCGCCTTTCCCTTTCCCTTAGTCAAATGCAAAGCGATTTCGGTGGCAACCGCTGTTGATCCGTCAATAATTCTCTAGTCAGGGCAGCGAGGACTTTAAACCTTGAATTTGCATCAGACCCAAGAATAAGAGAGGGTAAAATTGGAAACAGGAGGGTCGGTTCTGCTAAAAGGATTTTGAAGCTGGGGGGGGACGGGGGGGAGCCGGATTTTTTTCGCACGCTATTAAATCCTGCTAAATGATTGAATCAGGATTGTAATAAAGTGGCCCGATTTATGGTGAGCATACCAGCAGGGTTATTAGAAAGCCGAGGAAATCCAGCGAAATAATCACTTTTACAAAGTGAGCTCTGCGGGGTGAAGGAGGGGGCAGTGCCGGAGGAGACGGGCCGGGTGCTCCGCCACTCGGGGGAAAACCGGGGACATCTCCCTCTTTGTTTTGGTTTGGTTTTCCTCTCTCTTCGTCCCCTTGGTTTTTCTGTTGTTTGGTAGTGGGAGTTTTGTGTGTTTTGTTTTCTTTTCTTTTTCTTTTTCTTTTTTTTTTCCTTGACCCTCGGTCAGATGTGACAGGATCCCGCTAGTCGAGTTTGACATCCACACACCAAAATCAGAATCCTTCTCTGGCTCTACACTACAGGCCTTGACAAGGCAATGCTCCCCACCCCGCCGAATCCAGTAGGAACCCTGCCAGCCTAAAGATCCCAGCACGGCCCTACAGCGCGGGCTGGGGAGGGTGTGCGGGGCGGGAAGAGGAGCCGATGGATGTCCCTCGAGGCCCTTTTTGTCCCCCGCAAGGCTGCCTTAAGCTGTGGGAAATGAGAACGGGAATTTGCAAGGTCATTTACATGTCTGTGCTGCGGATGTACTTCTGTTGTTGATGAACTGTAGGGTGTCCTCGGTCTGTATCTTAGGTTTATAAAAGCATACATGAGTGTAGGCGTGCACGCTGGTACACACACATACAACTGAATATACTACCAGCACACGAACTGATCGTGGTTCTAATTCAACCTGCAGCCACATGAGTAAAAAGTTAAAACTTCCCAGGGACGGGATGGGAAGAGGGAGCAAAGGTGGGAATCGGGTTCAAATGGTTGCGACCCATCCAGAAAAACATGCAAACCGCATCCTCTACTCGCACACACGCACTCCTTCATCCGCCCCACAAGAGGATGACCTAACCCCCCACGCTGATAAACACGCAGTCAGAGGGGCAGACAGACAGCACTGCGTGTGTTCTCACACGGGAGGGATGCTCTGAGATACGCGTGCGGCCACGCATGGATCCGTGGGCATCCACCCCCGCCCACCTTCCTCTCCCCAGCCTCTGTGCCACAAGGTGGTGTAGGTTATAACCTCTTCGCAACGCGGCCACGGGGGCTAGTAAGAGCACCTGTGCAGTCCCGAACTCACCTGTGGGCGATGGGGAACTCCGTGAGACCCAAGCCCCCTCCTCCCTCAGGGCCATGGGACCCGCCGCTCTTTCTGCCCTGCAAGTGGGAGATGATTTGCCCAGGGGAGCCCTCAGTCCACTGCCAGGAAGGCCAAAGGAAGCTCCTAAACCTTGCAGGGGGGAGCCGAGACTGGGTCAAACGAAGCACCGCTGTACACAGCCTCTCCTCCCAGTCGGTGAGGGAGAAAGGGCTGGCTTCTCCCGAGCTACTAGAACTACCCGACTTCTGAGCAGCTCTTGTTCTTTCCTTCTCTTGCAGTGGGATTGCCTCGCTACCAGCATCACCCCTCCCCGGTGTGTGACAGGAAGGATTTTGTCCTCAATTTTAATGGCATTTCTTCGTTTCACCCGTCTGCTAGCGGATCTTACTACCACCATCACCACCATCAAAGCGTCTGTCAAGACATCAAGCCCTGCGTGATGTGAAGGCAGGACCCCAACAGAGACACTGAGGTGGCATGGAACAGAGCCGAGGTATAGACGATCCCACGCAGATTAAATATAATGTGCACTCTGATAGAATTGCTAGTACACGAGTCACTTAGCAAAATTACTTAAGGAAGCAGTGTTTTCCGTCCCACTCCACCCCTTGAAGGACGCGTACAGTCGATAAAACACTCCAAAGCTCTTCCTAAAAGAAAAATGTCCTGTGTGACGTATTGGGTTAGGTAGGACTTCGGTGTCCTTACGCCAAGTCTGACCACCTTAATCATAAACCACCTGTCTGTGATCTAAAGAATCGATCTTTGGGAAAGGGAACAGTTCGATATATTTTTGTACCAGAAAGTGTCTTTGAATAGGAAAGATAAATCTCCCAGCACAGCACCTGCGAGGACTCCCCCTTCCACTGCGGTGTTAGTGGAAAATGTACTTATTTTTTTCTTCCTCTCTCCCGAGCCCTACCAAGGACACTTTGTATGGACTTCAGCATCGACCCATCAATATTATTAAACCAGTATTGTTTAGCCCTTTCGTGTATAGACTTTAAGAAAAGTTCCAGTTTGTTTCCAGTATTGCAGGAATACAACGTTTTGTTTTTATTTTTACAAAAGTTGTTTTCTACCACAATATTTTTTTTAATATTTTAATTAAATCTCGTGTATACTCACACACTATTGCTTTAAATGAAGAATATATTTGCACTTATGTATACTTTTTACAGTTTGACAAAATATTTTGATGTACAAATTATTATTATTTTTTTTTCCAATAAAATGTATATAAACGACTGTGCTCTGGACAGGCGTTTCTTTTCTCTTGACTCCTTCTGAGAAAACTCTTCCACCCCAGTATCCGAGATGGTTACTGCAACCCCAAAATCCTCCAGCTCCCGGAGGCGGAGAAGCGGAGAGAGCGGCTGATCGGAGGGGGCCAGTGCCGTGACCTCTGGGCTGCACCTCCCGCCCTCACCCACTTCCCACCCTGTTTTCCCCGCTGCTAGGCGGGCTTTGAAATAACCAGGGCAACGGACACAAAAGCAGCAGGGTCCAGGCTGCCTGTTTCTTCTCCCTTCGAGGGTTCCCCCAGGCCCGAAATGCCCTCCCCCCTGTTCAGGGCTGTGTCCCCGTGTCCCCGACCCGCCTGCTCACGCAGCCCTGTCGAAGACCCTCCTTGCCCCGACGGGAATTTGCCAGTTGCTGGGACAGCAGCCCCTCTGCAAGTCGGGGTTGCACCCGGGACAACACGTCACGGGGTGGGGGCGACCAGAGGGATCAGCGATAAAACCGTGACTTGATAACCGAGGGGAAGGCACCGAGAATACCCGACCAGTGAACGAGGCTGGAGGGGGGCAG